CCCCCGACCCTCCAAGTAGGGTTTGGGGGTTTGGGGTCTGGGTCTGAAATGCGAAACTGCCCTAGATGCTAAACCCTCTAAGCCTTGCCATAAACATTGGGTTTTGAGGTCTTTAGAGGTTCTGAGTCTTACCCTAACGGTCCGTGTGCCCAAACAGTACATACCTTGGCCTGAAAGTAGTCCCTATATAGGTACTTTGGACCCGAAGTAAAACATATTTTGGGTACGTGGACCCTTGCGGTTCGGAGCCTGCAAACTCTTCAGCTTCAGGATTTTAGGGGTGTCAGATCTCAGGGTTCACGGCCGTAAGGTTTAGGCAGGGTTTCTGTCGTCGGATCCTGTGATTCTCTTCGTCAGCAACAGATCCGTTATTCGAGAACCCTGTAAAACAGCCCATAACACACACAAATTGAAGAAGTACCCAAGAGCCTTGAACGGTTCGTTACACATTATGCAAGCCTGAAGAATTCCTAATGCTAGTATGTGCTAATCCTCAGAGCTCCTTCTCACACTTACAATATGAGAACCGAGCCTTATTCTGACTGTGAACACCCCTATTTTGCGGCTCCGAGAAATTTAATTCCTGCTTTGGGGTCCAATGTGAAGGCTTCTTGGAGTCGGTGTTACCTTGCTTCGAGGGTCCTTACAACTTGGATCCTTCTACTTGGACGGTCGGGGGACTTAGTAACTAAGTACCATAACCCTAATTAGGATCCCTTTTAGGGTACCTATAACTCTACTTACTATCTGCTTGCTAAGTCCCCCGACCCTCCAAGTATCCACTCCGGTCCCTCTTGTCTGAAACCCTAAACCCCAAAAGTGCCGAGGCTCCTCCTTCCTCGCATCTCTACATGGGAGTTTCCGATAATAGGGGACCCTGATATGGTACCCTAAATACTCGGATCCTTATTATAAGGACCCAAAGTAAGATACCCCTAATTTTCGGAAACCCCCAAATGTGGTCATGCAGCATGGTTCTTATCCAAGAGCCCCAAAAGTAGCGCGGGCCGTAACGTGATCTCTGCATTGGATTGCTGCGTCGCTCCTTTCATAGCGTAAGTCTAATCCACGAAACCAAAAACTCCAGGAGCCGACGGTTGATATAACTCCTGCATTGCCCATAATAGGGAACATACCATAGTTCCTTTAGGGTCCTTTAGGTAATGCAGGATTTATACCATCAGCCGTATAGGGGTCAAGGAAGCTTGCTGGCACCCTGTCCCCGCCTTGAAGCACCTCGGTGCCCAAAACTCAAGGAAATACAAGTTGAAACTTTAAATTCCAGAATCGACTACCTTATCAGAACCCCAAAAGTTCAAAAGTTGAGTTTACAGCCAATGAGGCACTTGCTCTACGGTGTTACGGATGCGAGGATCAGTTCATTACGGTTTTGAAACTGGGATCTCCGTATGTGCCCTACCTATAGTCTCCATTGTAGTTCCTTTTCTGGTTAACCAAAATCTCTATTATAGGATCCTAACCATAACACAGGTTAACAAAAAAAGGGACTGCAATGGAGACTGTAGGTAGTCACCTAGTCTCAAGCCTAAACCCCAAACCCCAAAGCCCCGGAATTCCCAAACCCTCAACTCGCAGGCGCTAACCGGTACCGCGCCTGTGGTAGGGGCCGCAGCAGAGAACTGCTTCCCGCTTTCCTGGCGTCGCCGCCATGACTGTGTGCCCCTATAGTGTATACTTAAGCCCCGAAGTACCTGTATAGAGACTACTTTAAGGCCAAAGTATATACTATTTGGGTACATGGACCCTTAAGGTGTTGGAGTTGACAGCGAAGCAGGAGGTGCAGTGGTTCGAGGGTTGCGGGCTTCGGGCGTTGTTTTTTTCCGGCATTTCTTGAAAGCATGAGGTTTATATACGGGCTTTCATAATTTTCAATTGGGTCATGGGGTAGAGTACAGTGATATTGGGTCTGTACAGAAAATTGCCAGAAACAAGGAGATCACTGCGTGGTTGCAACACACACTGGCTAGTCTGGGTAGGACCTGAGTTACAAAAGTCTGAACCTCATGCGTTCGAACCGTCAGCTTCTCAATCCCGAATTGTATAATAGTATATAAGGCCACAAACACTATTTTGCAAACTCCGTATAATCCAAAAATCCTCACGCTGACAGCGTAAACATCCGCACCTCCGTACCAACCTTAAAGCCAGGTAAGGAGCACACAAACCCTAAACCCCTAACCTTAAACCCTAAACCACGGGACAAACCTCCAGCCAACGCCAAGACATCCCCGACGTGCATGATGGAGACTACCACCTCCAGCTTCGGTTGGCTATGGGATCGGATTTTGGCTTGGCGTTCCAGGGGCTGGAATGTGGGGTTTAGGGCTGCTTTGCTCAACAGATGTCTGACCAGCTTTGTTACGAATCCTGCCCGCCAGCAGCATCAACCGAGTTGAGGGCTAAACCATAAAACCTGAACCCCAAAACCCTCAACCCTCATACTGATACTAGGACGATGACGGCAGCGGCGAGGAGGAGGATGAGGCTGATTACCACGACCCCGCGACGACGACGACGACTAACTACTACAAGAATAACGACGACGACGACCAATGATAGTAACACACAGTACTGCTGATAATGAGAACTAGCAATAGCAGTACGTTAAAACACCAGCACAACCAACTAATAAAAACATGACCAAGTCTGAATGCACAAATAAAGAACACTCTCTTGCTCGCAGCCTGCGCCGCAGAGTCCAAGGTCTCTCCTTCAGGCAGTGCCTTGCGGATCGCCTCTGCAAGACGTCCCCTAAGGGTCCATATGCCCAAATAGCAGATACTTTGGCCGTAAAGTAGTCCCATACTTTGTCCTTGAAGTAATCCCTTGTTAGGTACATATACTTTTGATACATGGACCCTTAGGGAGGTAACGACCTCAACCCTGCCGCCCCGTGCAGGCCTCTTGCTTGCTCCGTAACAGTGGGAGAGTAAGCCTCAATAGTGGGTCGCTGGTCTCGGTAGAAGTAAGTGTGTCAGAAGAAAGGGTTAGAGTTGAAGTTGAAGGCACAAATGTTACCAATCATTCGAAAAGTCGAGAACATGTTGATGTCGCAACGGGCATCTGCTGGAGAAGGCTTCGCCTGTAATGCGGCGACACAGATCATCCTTGCATCCCCTATGCCCGAGATGGGAGCTTCCGAAAATGGGGGACCCAAATATAGTACCCTAAGTAGATCCTTATGATAAAGACCCCCAACGAAGGTACGCCTAATTGTCGGAAAGTCCGAAATCGATGCTGATCTCCAGCAACCCTAGACAGTGCCTGTGGCTTTCGGAGGTTCGTTGAAAGGTTTCAGAGTTTAGGGTTCCGGGATAAGTAGGGTTCAGAGAGGTAGGATGTGGTGACATGCAGGTCCGAGAGGCAAGACGTGTCTGGTCCTTGGGTCTGCCTTTGGTGCATTCTCTGGCTTCTCTAGAGGCTACGGGTTATGTGTTGCCTGCGGAACTCAGGGTGTTCCTGCCGGGCTAAGTTGGGGCTTCGAGCCGGGTTGCAAGGTTTAGGATGTAACTGAGGCGGAGTTCAGGGTTCAGGTGGGGGGTGTAAGGGATGTAAGGTCCACTTATGTGTCATGTTGTTGGGGGCCTGATGCTTTAGAGTTTAGCTTCGCATGTCGCCCGCAGGATCAGCAGAACCACGCCTGGACCCTGAACCCATAACCTACCTATCACCTCAAAAGATAGTCACTGTTCGCCTATCTGTTGACTGCCTCGCCAAAGATCTCACTGCTAGAGTATTCATCCTCAACTGCTCTAGAAGCTTGACAACATGCTCTAAACCGCCGTACCTAGGATGCCTCGCTAACCCCCTAAAACAACCGTCGCCTCCAGCGAGCACTGCCGTCCTGGTGGGCAATATCAGTCGGACTTCCTATATCATGATACATGCAAAGAAGGTCTACAACTCATGCTATCTTAGTTGCTGAGTTCATAAGCCCCGAAAAGTGTACACTTCCAGTTGTATAGTGGGCAATGTTATCCCAAAGAGTGTAAAGTGTATCCACTCGGCTATTATGCTGTTGTTAGGCGTTACACTACCTCTCGGGTCTAAGTTCTCATGCATCTGACGAGTATACTTGGCTCCAACAGACATGGGAGACCTCAACGTGCGGGTCCCAATGATGGTTCCTCGGAGTCTTCGAGTTGATGTAATGGCCCGAGCAAGCCAGGTAGGGCTTACGACAGTGAGCCCCAAACCCCGGCACAACTCCCGCCCTAAGCCCTGCACCCGTAACCCTTGTTGGTAAAGGCCAAATGCGTTCACGACTACGACTGCGACTACGGCGACGACGACTACTGCTATTTCTTCTTCTGGCACTCCTACCACCACCCCAAACCCCAAACCCCTTCTAACCCTAAATCCTGAACACTGAAGACGACTGGTCACTACTACGGTTGATGATATAAAGCCTGCATGACCCATAATAAGGAATATACCATAATTCCCATAGTTGCGGGTCCTTAAGGTAATGCATGACTTATATCATCAACCGTAGCACTGAGACCCGGCCCCCTTGAGGCCCAGTCCGGTGTTGATAACAGAGGTCCAGTAGTCTGACGGTTGAGACAGGATGGCCTGCTTTTTCAGGGTTTAGGGTTTAGGGTGCTTCCCAGACCCCCCTTGAGGATCTAGAAAGTTATGATGTCCCGGTCCTGTTAACACTATTATATCGGGAAATAATAAATAATGGGATTTTTTTGGGATTGCAGATGGAAACGAGGCACCGAGGAAATCAAACGCGCAATGGAAAAAAAACAGGAAAATAATGGGATTGGAATACCGTGGCATACAACGAGAGAGCAGCTTGCACACCAGTGTTAGTAAAGTAAGATTCCAACACAGAAGTAGACATTTGGAGGACAGACCTGAGGAGTGCGTGCTGAATTTGCGTTGTTAGACGCTCTTGCAGACTCTTGCGAACTATAAATCGGCTGTCAGGATGGGGCCAGTGCCCTTTGTAGCTAGTGTAGGCGGCAGTCATGGCTGAAGAAGACAGCTGGCTTGCTGCCGTTGAAGGGCTGTGCGCTCAACAGCAGGACAGTTTTGCAGAGGCGAAGGCTGCTGCACGCATACGTGCCTTCAGTGAATGGAGCTCAGATGATGACTGCCCTGCGTCAGCTGCGCCCTCGACGGAGTCATGGTACTGGCTCCCTTTGCTGAAGGAACACACAGCTGGCTACAAGCGCCAGCAGACGGGGCCTGTTCGACTGTTGAGTTCGTGCACTGGAAGTTTTGCAGAAGCTGAAGCGCTGGAGGCGCAGCGGGCACATTAGCAAAGAGTATTGAGCAATGTGTAGTGTAGGTTTGTTTCCACGACCTTGCATCAGGATGTGAGAACGGTACCCAAAGAGTGTGAACACTGCTGTAGCCACCAATCGAAGAAGTGCAGCTTGAAGTCTTTGGTAGATCATTAGCAAGCAAGCATCACTACTACTAGCGGCATGGAGAGATAGAGAGATTTTATATGTAGCACAAGGACGGAGCGATTCTTCAATCTTGCTTCAGTATGTCGAACATTAAGTGGGCAGTCTTGTCACTGCCTGTAGCTACAGAAGCAGCTTCAATGACCCTGAGTGCCAGTGGGGAAATGACTGCTACGTTGTATAAGCAAGAAGTGCACAAACATGTCGAGGTCGAGGTCGATGCAGAGGGAAGGTCACAAGGTCATAGATATAGCAGCTAGGCATGAGGAGCTTGTAGTAGGTAAAAAGTGGTGAACGGCAAAGTTTCCTGTAGACTGTAGACTCGTTGAGTCTTTGCTAGAAAGGCTACCAGGAGGCTGAGGCAGAAGGAATGGAATGAAGAGGTTGCAGGCAAGAAGCAGTCGCAGCCGTATTTCTAGCCGTTGTGGTCGTTGTTGTAGCCGACGTACTCGTACTTGTCATCATGTAGTTTTAGTCTTCGTGCTGGCAATGTGTCGTCACTCAGTTGCAGTCGCGCTAGTAATTAGTACTCAGTGTTCACTATTCGTCGTTGTCGTCGTATAGTCGCAGTCGTTGACAATGACACCCTGTGTCATGCTGTGTCTCTCGAGGCGCTGGGGATCCCATACGTTGCTCTCGGCTGTGCTGACACTAACAGCGACTTCCGTTCCTACGTGAATGCGAGCTTTGGTGGATCAGGGCGCCGTGCAGCCGCCCACATGCATTGTAGCATGGAAGATCAGTTGTCCGGCGCAGCTTGCAGCTATCATCCGGGTGAGCAGTGTATGTTTTCCTTGGCCTCGGATGTAGACATTGCAGTGACAGGCACACCCTGTCCCCCTTTCAGCCAGAACCGACAGAAACGCACTGCCATTGGCTCGGTAGTGAACCACCCGCTCTACCACGTCACAGACAGTCTGCTTCCGTCATGGGTGGCCATGACAGAACCGAAGTTCGCAGTAATAGAGCAGGTGAAAGGATTCCACCAGCCTATGGACTGCAAGGATGAATCGACGCCGCTGATCAGGTGCTGTGTTTCCTTTCATGTCGCAGGTATGCTAGGTATATAATATATAATTACCCGCGCCCTCGAATATATGAACCCCACACCTTAAATTCGGCTCAAACGGTGAAGTGACAAGAGGACAGATGTTACCCGTGCCCTCGAATTAATGAACCCCACACCTTAAATTCGGCTCAAACGGTGAAGTGACTAGAGGACAGATGCAATGGTCCCCTGCTCGCAGGTTGCTTGAGGCCATCTCCAGCTACTCGTGGTCTCGTGGAGGGTACCACGTGCTGGCCCACGACCTGGATGGGCAGCCTTGGAACAATGTTTCCAGACCCAGGCCAGTACGGGTGATTACGGGTGGTTTGTTTGCGATTAAGGGATTTGGAGCATGAGCATGCAACTTGGGAGACTCACCACATTAGCAGGAGTGGCAACGCTTTTGTTTTCGACTCTGCCGCCAGTGTTGAAGCATTGTTCAGCCGTGCACATGTCCGTCTGCAAGGGCTCAAAGCGGCACTTCTACGTTGAAGTGCTAGCTGGCTAGCCGTTCGTGTTTCACGAAATGCAAGCACATGGATTCGGACAGTGACCCAGAGGACTTTCGTCCCATAGCGCCAGCGCAAGCAGAACGCAGGCCTGTGCTTGCGGCTGCACGACCTGCCAAGAAGCCTAGAGGTAGCCATTCTTTGCGGGCACTGCTTCGTGACACAGAAATCCCACAGCCAGTCGCATCCAGGCAAGAGCTTGCGGCCGCAGCGAGGCAAGCCCGGCAAGTGCAGCTGGCTGCCAGGCGTCATGATCATGAAGACGATGGTCCAGACGCAGTGGTGCCACATCGTGTGTCTTCCTTTCGATTGGCCGCGGGGCAGGGTACGAAGGCTCATCAATTTGCCTGCTCGCTGCTGGAGAAGTGGACGCAGCCGGGAATTTCGAAAGCCATGCCACCCAATGCCGTGTGCCAGCACTTGGTGCGCAAGGAGGAGTTCGTGCACATGAGTTTTTCTGCGCTTGCTGCGGCGACAGGCGTGTCCAGACAGTCGGCATCTCGCGCAGTGGAGCGCACTGCTGCTGCGATGCAATTGTGCTCAGACTTGTCATGGGGGACGCTGCTGGCAAATGTAGCAGAGCTTCTGGCCTCCAGCTCCAATGTGCGGGGCCTCCTGTTTCTGACTCATGCAAGATACGACGAAACCCCTTCGAAGCTGCGCCTCGACGCAGACGGCAATTTGATGACGTCATCAGCCGTGCCGCTGCAACGCGACAAGCAAGAAACATGCATAGCCAAAGTCTTCCAGATCGAGTTCGGCTTGACAATGCTCCTGCAGCGTCTCGACACAGGCGAGATACATGCCTTGACGGGCATGTGTCCAAGACAGTTGGCTGCTGTAGACAGGACCAGCGCGGCTAACACGCGGCAAGTTCTCGAGTCCAGATGCAGTTTGCCGGAGATCAAGAGAGCATCCAAGCATTTTGACTTTCGGGTCAGGTGTGTATGTACAGACCGGTATGCGGCAAACTTTGCAGCTGAACGATCAATGCAAGCTTCCGCTCGTCATGAGGGGTTGGCCTACGCTCGTGATCATTCCTCATGCGAGCTCCACATGGTAGCAACAGCTCACACGAAAACTGCACAGCTCTCGAAACTGGACGTTGCCGTGCAGGGCTTGATTGCCTGTGCCCTCACTATGACTGGGGCCAAAGCCAAGTCACGCCTGCGCCAGTGCCTCCTCGAAGTTCTGGTGGAGAAGTCTGTCTTTGTCGCTGGGCGTGCTCCAGCTGGGTCTGTCGTGGACTTTCGAAACAGCCTTTTTGACCAGCACTTGCCTCTCTACCCTGCTGCCCGAGAGCCAGAAGCACGAGCCTTGGCAGTTATAAGTCTTAAGACGTTCTTCGCTTCTGTGCACTGGGTGCGCAAACGTAGGATCTCTGATCTGACAGGCTTCTATGTCAGGATTTCAGGAGTTTATAAGTTTGGAAGCATAATAATATCTACTGTCCTGGCCTCAATGTTGATATCCCTCCGTCCATCTGTCTGCTCGATGATCACTCGACCATTTTCTTCCCAAGGGTTCTCACATGTCCGTTATACCGTTACATGTCAGAGGGGCCTGCTGGCCTTCTGAATGTCGTCAGTCTCACCTGCCAGGCAGACTGCACAACCAGCACCGTGCCCAGCGGTGCGTCCTTGCCAAGTTCTTCAACGGTGACCTCACATCTTCTACCGTGAGGATCTACAACCCCTTTGTTCATGTCATCGACGAGACAGTGAAAGCGAACATGCTCAGAGACATAGAAGCCTTCGCGTTGGCAGCCCTTCTGCCTCGCACTTGCCCTCTCTTTTCACGCAGTCGCTGGAATGGTGCGGATGCTTCCCTGAATTGGCTTGGCTTGTTTGGGGGCCACTACAATGGTGCACTCTTCGCTGGCACCATTCAAAGATTCATTGGGCTGCCCTTGCTGCAACGCCCAGCCGCTTCGGCAGAAGATGCTTGGATGCGTGCCATTTCTGCAGAGGTTGGCCTGGAGATGGGCCGTCAGACTCCAGGAGGTCTGGCTGCTGAGACATTGGATGAGGAGGTCTTGGAGCCTGATGCAGAAGTTCCCGGGCAGGCTGACGAGTGGCACCGACGCAACAAGCAGTACCGGCGAAAGGCCGTCAACTTCGCAGCAGAGCTTTGCTTGGGCACCGTCTTTGTCTTCTGCGTAGTGGGTGGTTTGCTGCAACAGCTCCGCAGAGAGCTGTTCCACAGAGCCAGTGTGGTCTGGCGTCGGAATGTTTATGCGCGTGCTGCCCGCACTCACAGCCCATCCAACTTCTGCAAGCTGCTGGAAGTTCTTGCGAGCGACGATGTGCAGAGATTCTACAGAGGTCTCTTTCGTGCCTTACGAGAGAGGCAGCCGCTGCTGGAGCCTCCTTACAACACGCTGCAGAACCGGTCGCTCCTCTTCACTGCGTTGGCCCGTGCAGGTGCGTGTATCCACCAGCTGCTGGTGATGCGACGTGCTGGCTTCCCGATGCAGATGTTCAGGTTGCTGACAGACGGCTCAGCTGGGATGGCAGCCGAAATAGTTGAGCGGGCCAAGAAAGTCTGCATGCGAGACGAACTGACCCACGAGCTCCTGTCCCGCTATCCAACCGCAGATGACCTCCGCAGCGCACCTTGTCGGGCAGTGCTCTGCTGCATCGCAGCACGTCGCGAATATGACATCTGCACAATCGAATGCAGGCACGCATCCACTCGTCGTGTGTCGGCTACTTCAGCTCAGACATGGGTGCGAAGTCTGCAACATGTCTCTGCAGCCTTCTGCATCAAGCAGAACAAGCTAGCCCGGCAAAATGTGGCTGGTGTGCAAGTGCAAGCTTCTCCCCAGGGCACACGTGCTACTGCTTCCGAGCCCGAGCCGGCTAAGGCAAAGCAGACGAGGGCACGGAGTGCCTGGGTGGCGTTCATGCATGAGGAAACGCAGGGGCGCACTGGTAAGAAGTGGGGTGGCGACATGCGGGAGCTTTCTCGCAGGTTCCATCTCTTGAGCGATGCAGAGAAGGAGAGGTTGCAGGGTTTGGCGGACACCGCCACCGAAGCAGCGCGTCAACAACAAGCTCCTGGTCCGGCGGGGCTTGCGCAAACGCGCGAGCAGAAGAAGGAACGCAGGAGGTTGCGGATGGCGCTGACGCCTGGAGCTGCCGCCGACGACGACGCTGCAGTAGCCAGGTCTGCGGCTGTTTCTCTGAACTCTGTGGCTTTCGGCCTGCCAGAGGAGCTTGCCAAACTATCCCAGGAGAGACGGTCGGCAGTTGCTGCAGCAAAGAAAATAGCCGAGGAGGAGCAGACAGCGCTGCAGCTTTACTTACATCAGAACCCTGCGCCTGTCCTGGACTTGATCCCGGATTCAGATCTGGTGCAGTCGAACAGCGTGCCTTTGCCTGAGACTGTGCAGACAGCAGAGTTCAGTCCTCCACTGGCAGACATGGCAGAGGCCGGTCTTTTCTTCGACACACTGTCATTTTTATCAGCTTGAGTTATCAGTTATCATCTTGAAGCGAACTATGCAAACTGTTATCAACTCCTTCGAATTTAAACTATTTAAACAGCGTACTGTTGTAACAAATCTCCCTCGATGGGGCCAGGGCCCAATGAGCTTACATTGCTTACATCTCCAACTCCTAGTTGTCCTAGTCAAGTCATCATCCAAAGCGTCGCGCAGTCTGCTGAGTCTTGTGCAGTCGTGCAATCTCTCAGGTGTTGATGAACCCACCGCGTCGGCAAACTGGTGTCATGCGGTTTCTGACAGAGTGGTGGAGCCAGCAGCATCAGGTTGTTCTCCACGATGAGAGCCCCAAGCTGCCGCCTCTGCATGGGGAATTCCAGACCCAGCTTTGCTGTGTCTTGAACTTCTGCGTCTGCTCTGGGCGCGGACAAGTGGCTTTGTTCTTCCACAAGAATTTGGCCTCGCTGCTCCGTCCACACTTTGTACGGCGCCAGAAAGTAACTCCGCCCGGCAGAAGTGCACTCGACGATGCTCTCCTGGTGATGCGTTTCAGCAGCAGCTACTCATCCTCTGATGCAGCCTCCTACCTCCTGAGCTTGGAGGACGACGCGGAACCCAAGCCTTGTCCCGGAGATGTATGGTATCATTTGTCTTATATGAACCTGACTACTTTTCACTGCACGCTCCTCCCGCTGCGTCTCGCCACAGAAGGGCAATCTGGGCCAGGCTACAATTTGGTGCTTCCTCCTGATGCTGCCTTCCAGTCCAGTGTCGAGCAGTTCTCGGCGGATATTGATTTTGACTTCCGCTGGCAGGTGCACTTCTTCACTGTTTCGCGGTCCGAGCAACTTGGCCAGTTACATTTTCTGGGGGAGAAGGTCTCTATAGAATCAAAAAATGTGTGTCGGCTAAAGGCTGTCGGCGGACAATTTGTAGTTACTCCTAGTTACTGTCAGTTTTTGTAATAGCTGTCTTAACTGCCGAAGTGAGCCCAATCCAGGTGCTCCGTTTTACCAGAGGATATGGCTGCAGCGAATGTGCACGTAGTGCCACTTGCCCAGATCCCTTCCTTCTACTGTTGGCAAGGGGCTACTGCAGAGGCAGCTAGGCGGTTGGAAGCATCGCGCCGGCCTCCGCGAAACCCTAGAAGGCCAGCAGCTGGACGGCAGCCTCCCAGGCCGCGGCAGCAGCGTCCTCGGGCGGAACAGCCTCGTGCCAGTGGTCACGGTCCTGCTGCAGCTCCTCTGGAAGATGAGGCCTCTCAGGACGCCTCTCAGGACGAGCTCGTCGCTGAGGAAGCGGCTTTGTGGGCCAGTGCCAGCAGCTCCGGCGAGGAATCCGAGGCCGAATTGTCTGACATTGCTGGCATGCAGGAAGAAGAAGCGCGACTAGGAGGGGATGCTGCTGCTGTAGCACCGGATTCATCAGCTTCATCATCATCCTCGCATGCAGACGAGCCAGCTGCGGCAGCAGCTCCGGAGGGCGAAGCAGATGCAGACGCTCACAGCGTGCGAACAAGCGACATGAGCATTAGCTCCTTCGATGCAGGCGACGCAGAGGAGAGCGACGGCAGTCAGGGCTCTTCTGACTCTTCATCATCCAGCAGTTCACAAGATGGAGCCGGTGGAGCCCCACGACGAGCCGAGGTGCTGCCGCGCCGGGAAGCTGTGCCGGAGCTCCGCCTGGACATTGCAGATCGTGGTTCCATACGTTTCAACACCGTCCTGGGGTACTTCAGAGCTATTTGCACGCGGCATCCCAACTGCACTCGCCAGCGCACGTCCGAGGGATCCAATCATCCCTCTCGAACAGCGCAAGGCAGACCGCTTGGCTTCTTAGCCGCCTGGCTTTTGGAGGACACGCATGTCAATGCCAAGGAGACACATCCCTCTAATGCGCCCAGCCTGCAAAGCAGGGTGGCCGCGCGGGAGCATCTGAGAGGCTTGCACAGTCGTGCAGCGTTTGAGGATTTTGCTCAACACGAGCGTCCTTGCAGACCTGGAGAGAACCAGGAGCCTGATCGCTTGCCATAGGCATGCTGAAGTCCACGTGTGGAAACGCCTGCGAACCACGTGCAAGCTTTGCAGACTTGCATCTTAATAGCATGTCGTCTGCTCTTTCCATGTCGAATGACATGCTTCTGCTGACTTTCGAAGGAAGCATGGCAGACTCCCACGCATTCTTCTTTTGTCGCAGGTTCTACATCTGCTTGTACCGCAGGGACGTCTTCAGCCTCGATGCTGTGCAGCTGCATGAGCGTCTGCTCGAGGCCGGCCTAGTGCTACAGGGGCTGTTGTCGCGTGAGGAGGTGCAATGGTTGTGTGATTTGCCTTGTGACGTCTGCAGCCTCCAGTCAAAGGCTGCAGGTCCGAAGATGTTTAGCTGTGCAGTCTTTAGCATGCGGGGAGTGTAGCCGTGAACTCCAGAACTCAAGCCACGCGGCCTTGAAACCGCGCCCATGCAGGACCTGTGCTCCAAGCAGTCCGCCGCCGGTCCGGTGGACACCCACGAGCAGCTTCTGCCCAAAGGACACTCGTTGCTGTCTGTGACGTCCCCGAAGCCCCGACAGGCACATCCAAGGGTCGGGTCCCATGAGAGCTTGCTTCTTGCTGCCAGTGACTGCCAGTGCTCACGTCTCAGCCGTGTCCAGTGCTTCGGTGTGTGCTTCGGACTTCAGCATTGTCCCCGTGCGGCCCCGATCCATTCCATTTTTTTTCCATTTCTTTTCCATTGTCCCCGTGCGGCCCCGATCCATCCCATTTTTTTCCATTTCTTTTCCATTGTCCCCGCGCGGCCCCGATCCATCCCATTTTTTTCCCCTTTTTTTTTCCATTTTTTTTCCTTTTTTTTTCCATTTTTTTTCCATTTTTTTTCCATTTTTTTCCATTTTTTTCCGAAATGCTTCAGGGAATTTGCAATTTTTCCAGGATCGAGCCCCCCCGTGACCCGGAACCCCACTGCCCCCCGCAGGGCATGGGAAAAGGAACGGAAAAATAACCAAACGCGGAATGCTTGTCCTGGGGGGGGGTGCTTTGAACCTGTTTGGTTTTGGTGCCCTGGCAGGCACGCATCTGCAATTTGAACGCTGTCTGGAAGAGCGACAGCATCAAATGGCGTGAGCAGCTGCAGATCTCCAACTCGTATGCACCCTGGACAGCCAGGCCTGGCACACGCCTGGCAGGTGTCCCGAAGCAGGACCGTGTGAGGGACTTGATCGACTTGTGCTGCGCTGACGTCCTGGGGGGCCACGTAAAGGGAAGAGAAGTGCCCAAGCTCCTGCGAGACGTGTTTGTGGACGTTTCCCAGAGCCATGCCAGAAAGCCAAAGACCAGGAAATGTGGCATGCATCCGTGTCTGACAACGTCCAGCACATGGTACAGCTACCGCTTGGATCGCATGCTGGTTCCACATGAGAATTTCCTTCTTCAAGGCCACAGCCGCGCCAGGATGCTGCGTGGCTGTCCCGTGATGCCAATTGCAAGCTTCCAGTCCCTCGCAGGAGAGGGCTTTGCTGTGCCATGCATCGCCGCCGTGCTCGCCACGATTCTCGAGGTCATCGATTTCCGTGGATGTGGGCCTACGCAGCAGTGATGTATGTGAGTCGCCTTCGGCATCCAGGAATCCGGGCCCGTAGGCCCTACGTACTCTTTGCCAGAGCAGTTGTGCATGCACCCAGGCAGATGTATATATATATATATATATATATATACATATACACATACATATATATCTATATATGTATATGTATATGTTTATGTATATGTATATGTATATGTATATGTATATGTATATGTATATGTATATGTATATGTACACACATATATATGTCTATATGTATATAGTATATATATATATACATATGTATACTATATACACATATTTATATGTTTCACTTCCAGGGTGTTAGAGCCACTAGCTTGGAATCGCGCTTTCTGTCGTCGTCCGGAATCACTGTGTTTACTCGCACACATAGCTAGAAGTACTATCTCCGGCGACCCCTGTTGCAGATACCTGCTGCTCGGCTCTTGTATTGTAGCCGTGTTACTGCAACTGTGCGAAGTGCACCTGTCGCGTAGTGATGCGTAGGGCCCGGTGTCGGCCTGCGCCCCTTAGCTATACTGAGTCTCGCATGCAACATGCGGGCCGGTATCCAGTGTTGGTGTGGATGAATATGTGAATCTGCGCAGTTGCTAGCAATAACTACGTACTGCTTTCTCGAGCAAGCCATGACCAACGCTCACTGAACCGGGCAATTCACGAGGAATGTGTGCCTGCTGCACAGACTCACCTTGCGGGCTGGAGTTCTTGCGTGGGAAATCAGATGTGATAGCGAGTGCTGTGAGTCTCAGGCACATGCAGCTTGCCTCTGCCTGCCATGCTCGGGTAGTCTTTTAGGGCAGTCTCCGAAGGTCTGGTGCTACGCGACTTCAGTAGCGCAAGTTGCTGCTGAGCAGCAGCTACCTAGCAACACAGCCCAACTTTCGCTGCCGTTGGGTCATGGCGGGAAGCAAGCTGGTCAAAGCCAAAGCCAAAGCTAAGAACAAGGACAGCAGGGACATGTTGCGAGCTTCCTGTTAATAAGAAAAATAAGTCAGTCTTAAGCCTTTCTTTGTTTTGTGGAATACTTGTTGAGGAGAAGCAAGCATCGAGGCGTGACAAGAAGAAGGCTCCGGCTACTGCTCCCAGCAGCGGCAGCAACAGCTCCGCTTCGAAAGCACGTGTTAAAGCCCGAACGCCAGCAGCCTCAGCCTCGTCAAAGCTGCGACCCGTGGTGAAGAAGGAGACGCTGACCTGTCCCGTCTGCAAGCGAGACAGCCAGGAGCTGCCGGCTGCTGTTCATCATGTTAGCCCGGTCTTCAGCGTTGCCGCAAAAGCACCGTGTGTTGCTCTGATTGACAGGGAGGGGTTCCAAAAGGCAGCTTCACGTCGAACGCAAGGAGGGCTGGGAGAGTTTTGGAGAGGGTTTTCTGGGGTGTTCCTTTGCGTTCTTTTTCCAAATAAAAAGAACGGCGGTCCCGGGGTGGGGTGGG